ACAGGAGAGGTTGGGGAATCAGAGGTCTAGATAGATCTTGGCCTTGAGAACATAGAAAGAAAGGGCGTGTGGAGAGCAGGAGTGGTAGAGGAATGCAGGGTGATTAGGTTGGTCAGCTGGGCGAATGGTTATGATATTTATTTACTTTGGGGATTCAAGAGGAAGAAAAGAATATGCAGGGAAAGAGATTGAATTCAGTTTTGAAAACAAGTGCTGTATTCCAGTACGGCATTTTATGTACTCATTACTCGAATACGTAGTGATCCCCACTTAAACTGCAGGTACTTTTCAAGCTGTTGGGGTAGGTATACACCTGTCTCATTTCTTAATTATGTATTCTGGCTAAACATCTGTCAGCGTGGATTACAAATATTTTTATCCCCATTTGTGACTGTCCTTTTCCCTTGGTGTATCATGTCCCTTTTGTGATAACTTTAAAACCTTTGGTGGAGTCAGTTTTATCAGTTTTGCCTTTTTCATGTTTAGCTGAGAAATTCTTCTTGCCCTATGGATGGGAAGGTATTTCTCCACATCTCTATTACATTATTACTACTACTACTACTTTATGTTTTAAAATTTTGATTTTCACTTAGGTGTTTAATCCACCTTGAATTATTCTTTGGGTGTGGCTTAAGGTCTGAATCTGTTTCTTTTCCTAGTTTTCTTAGGCCATAGACCAAGCAGGATTTCTTTTTCCCTGTGGTTTATAAGGCCCAGTTGGTCATGTATCAATGTCCAAGTGTGTGTGTCAGTCGTCTTGCTGTCTTTTCGGATCCATTGGTCCACGGTCTGCCCCTTTGCTAGTGTCACACTGTCTTAATGAATAGGTTCCTGATATCCTCTGTTAAAAACAAGCACCTCAAGTCTTCGTGACTTAACACAGCAGCCGTTTCGCTGTTCCCTGATTCCCTGGAGTGACTCGGATGGCATCCCCTGTCCGTCCTCCGTGGGCTCGCACGTAGTCGCAGTCGTGCGGTGACAGCAGCGGGGCTGCACGTCCGGTGCTGCAGTGGCCCTCCCTGAGGTCTTTCTCCTCTTTCTCTTCGTGGTGGCTCATGCTTCGTGGCCTTTCCACGTGCTCGTTCTCCAGCTCTTTACTGTGGACTTCTGGCTGGTGGCTCAGGGCTCTGAGAGCAATAAGCGAGCAGAAGTGGTGAGACTTTTTAATCACTAGTGTTGGAGGTCACGGAACATCGCTTCCTCCACGTTTCATTGGGTCAGACAGAAGCACAGCATAAATTCAGAGGGTGGGTGGAGCTCTCCTTGGTGGGAGGAGTAGCAAGTTGATTCAGAGACAGACTGAATTGTAGCCTCCGTAAGTCTGGAAATCTGGTAGGGAAAATCACCTGCCTTCATCAGAATTATCCTGGTCTATTTTTTGCTCGTTGTTTTTCAATTTACATTTTAGGTTCTTGACAAATCCTGTGGAAAAAAACAAGCTATTGGAATTTTGATAAGAATTGCATTTAATCTACAGATTAATTGAGGAATGATTACTGTGCATACTGTACTGAATTTTCAAATCTTACGGGTTTATTTATATCTCCCTTCACATCTTTCAGTGATGTTTGGTAATTTCCTCTAATACTCAGCACATTTTGTTTATTTTTATTTATCTTTAGGTACCTTATAGTTTTTATGGCTAATATGAGTGGAATATTTTAAAAACTTCATTAAAAATTAGATTCTGTTGATTATTGAAGTGCTATTCACTTCCACATTTAAAAATTCACTTTAAAAACAGACTTATTGAGCTATAATTCATATACCATATAATTTACTGATTTAAAGTGTACAGTTCACTATTTTTTTAGTATATTCACAACCTAGTGCACCCATCAGCAAAGTCTAGTTTTAGAATATTTTCATCACTCCAGACAGAAACCCTGTACCCACTGTCAGTCATTTCCTTTCCCTTCCAAATCTGCGCCCCCTCCCTGCCTCACCCCCACCCCCTGCCAAACCCCACAGCTCTGGTAACCACTAATCTACTTTTTATTTCTAAAGATTTGCCTATTCTGGACATTTCATGTAGATGGAATCACACATACGAATTCAAAGGACTCTAAGAAGAATAACAAGAGTTGAATAACTCACACTTCCTAATTTCAAAATTTACTACATTGCTAAAGTAAGCAAAACCGAGTGGTACTGACATAAAGACAGACATACAGACCGAAGGCATAAAATAAAAGGCCCCAAAATAAGCCTCACATTTATGGCCGCTGGGTTTGCAGTGAGATTGCCACATCCGTTCAGTGGCGGAAAGGACACTGTTTTCAACAAATGGTGAAAATGTTATTTCTTTAAATAGACTGTCTTCCCCCTTTTCCCCCTCTTCTTCTGGGATGCCAGTAATGCATGAGCTGTCTCATTGACTGGTATCCCATACGTTCTGTAATCTTTCTTCAGTCTTTTTCCCTCCTTCCTTCCCTCCCTCCCTTTATCCCCCCGCCATTGTGAACGGCCTGTCTTTGAGTTCAGTGCGTCTTTCTTTTACTTGATTGAGTCCGTTATTGAAGCTATTGATTGAATTTTCAGTGCAGCAGTTGTATTCTTTATCTCTATCATTTCTTTTTTTCTTTAATGGTGTCTGTTTCTTTGTTAAACTTCTGTTTTGTTCATGTGTCGGTTACCTCTGGTCAGTTGTGGCCACAGGCTCTACCCCCGATCAGTCGGTGCCACTGGCTGGAGTTAGTGTTGAAGCGGGGCCGCAGGCCGGGCTCTGCCTGCGTGAGGCCAGAGGCATCCTGTGCCTCTAGGTGGGGTCTGGCTTTGCAGTCGGGGAGGGTCGCTGACTGCACTTTGTGGTAGCTTGGTCTGTTGGCTGTAGACTCCAGCTGGGTGAACTGAAGACTGTGTCCCTTGACCTTACGCGGCTGCCATTTTGGCTCTGTGGTTGGGTGAGATTGCCATTAGGGACGCGGTGGCACTTTCAACATCCGCTGGCTGGTCACTCGGTGCTCTGTCCTCCTCCTTTGCCACCTGGTGACCCCAGGCGGTCTACTCCTGCCCGTCCCCCCAGAGTTCCCTGTGAAGTGAGACAACGGTGGGCCTCCTGAGGCTGGCCCCTGACCACTGGACTCTTTTTAATCCACTGTGGCTAATACAGAGTTGGCCTCTGGCAGCTTTACTTTGCTTTAATTTATCGTTACTTTTAAATATTTTGAGTGTAAACTCAGGAGGTTCTTTTCAGGAGAGAAAATTGAAAATTGGACAGATCTCTTTGTGCTTTACTGCTAAGCCAGCAGTTCTCTGGGCCGAGGGTGAGCACCCCGCCTGGTTGCTAGCACTCTTTGCTCCCCAGGTTTCTGTGCCAGCAGAGTGCTCTCCTCCATCTGCCCTGGCCCAGATCCTCGTGTGTAGTGTGCCTCATGCTCTTATGACGCCTCAGTGAGGTTTCCCTCAGCTTTTCTGTGGCACCTCAAACCTTCAGTTGTTAAATGTCCTGAGAGCCTCAGGGGCTCTCTCTCTCAGCTCTCTTGCCTTGCTCCCATCTCCTGGGCTTAGCTGCTTTGCTTGGGGAGACTCCACGCACTTCCCGGCTCAGTTCCCCTGCTCCTCCCCGGCCCTCGAGCACTGGCCCTGTACACCTGGTGGAGACCAGTGGGAGTCAGTTGCTGGGTGGGTGTTGACTGTCTGCTACCAGGTCCTTCTTGGAATTTTAGCTAATCACTCCGGTCCACGTGCAGGCCTTCGGAGTTCGGCTGGTTTCTCCTTAGCCTGTCTAGGGCAGACTCTATCCTTCTGCATCTTTGCCTGGCATCTGAGCACATCCGTACGAATCTCCTCTGTCTCAGGAAAGCCTTGTCATTTTTTTGCAGCTTAGTTCAGGTGGGTTTCTTTTCATTCTTAATTCTTTGATTTTTAAAAAAACTCATTTTGTGGTTAATCTGGCTTGTTTGGCTTGTGTGAGAATGATCATGAGCCTCTAAACTTCTGTTTAATACTAGGAATTTTTTTTTTTATGAAATGCTTCCAGTGATACTTCTTTCAAAGATAGAGAATATATTCTTTATATTTCTTATAATATTAACTGTAATGATAGGTAACATCTATTGGGTACTTACTGAGTGCCAGGCACCTTGGTGAATACTTTATAAATGTATTATCTCATTCCAAACTTGAGAATAGATAGTATTATATCATCCTCATTTTCCAGACGAGAGACTAAATAGGCAGTTCAGTGTTGCATAATCAGTTAGTGACACTTTTGAGCTCAGGGTTGTCTATGTCTGGAGCACAGTTTACAGATTCACGTCCCCAGAGGGGACAGGTGTGTAAATAAATGAGTGCAGTGAGTAGGGTGCAAAAAAATAACAAAGCAGGTAGCACGAGGAATGACAGTTAACATTCAACGTAGATACTAAAAAATGAAGAGTAACCACTTCTGTGACGGAGACTCTTGGAGAGAAACGCCTCCTTCACGGGATCCGCCCCTTCTCAGCCCAGCCAGTTGTTGCCAGTGTGAGAATACGGGTCCAATGTTTCAGATCTTCAGATTTTTTCAGTAGAAACTAGAAATCTGTGTTTTTCACGTGAAAACACTTGGTTTCTAAACTTTTGCTGCTAATTCAAGTAAAACTAAAATAAAACCCAGTGTGTGGACCTGCCCGGTGCTTCTGTCTGCAGGCCCAGCCTGTGTCCTGGGCGGCCAGCTTGCAGTCCCTGCGACAAAGCCCGCACTCCTTTAAACCACCCGATCCCAGTTTACACAGGTGATGGAAGCTGAGGAAGTGAAGGCCTGTTTTTGAATGAATATATTGTTTTATTTACTACTATCACAGTTGTGTTAGCTTAGATGTAAGCTACAATTTTTAAAAACATGAATTTGTTTAAAATCCTGAATAATGCATTGTATCTGCCCGAAGCAGTGTCGTGTGTAAGGTGTGTCCTGTTAGGTTGACGTGAGACCCAGGTGTGACTGAATGCTTCTTGTGTTCTTGTTTGTCTGTCATTGACTGTTCTCCCTCCCTTCTGCCCTTTCTTTTTTGATGCAGCTTTCACTTTCAGAAGAACAAAATGAAGTAACAAAAAACGGCTGTGAATCTAAAGAGCTGGTCTACCTCGTGCACATTGCTTGTCAGGTAATTGCGTAGCTGTGCTCTCCGTTTGCCATAAACTTTAATGCGAATTCAATGTGAATGAACAAATATAAACAAATAACATTGGCTTTGGTAAGACAGATGTTTTATTTTATTCTTTCTCCCAGTCACATTGGCATTTCTGTGTGTACTCAGAGTTGAAAGAGTCAATTTAATAGAATCAGTTTAATAGGTATTTAATTTACAAACTTTAATGAAAATTCTTGTAAGAGTAAAGGAGATATATCACTTCTTGATGATGAGATTAAGGGCGTCAGCTCTTGGCCACGTATTGCAATAAAAGAGCACACTCAGCAGTCTCTGCCTCCGGTGCTCACTTTTCTGACCACGACCGCAGGCTCTGCCCGTGGAGACCAGTAGGACGTGTGTGCTGCGGGAGTGTGCTGTTTCCTCTCTCTTAGTGTCAGAGCTTTTTTGAGGGTTAATTACCATGACTGGCTCTTAATGAGATTTAAAATATGTCATTTGTAGCATTGATTATTTCCTCCAGCAAGTAAGCAGTTAGTTCCTTAATATGTTCTTTGTTCATTGAGTCTTTTTGCTTTTTTTTTAAATTAGTCATTGTAAAGCAAGTGTTTTCGAGGAAAGCTTTCTTATGTACAAACTGTCCAAGTTTTTTTGGGGAGAGAGTAAGATAGGGACATTTGTGTTTTGTTTTGTTTTGTTTTTGCCAAAATAATTATTCATGTACCTGAAGTTAAAAATTAAATAATCTGGAACAGTCTAATGCCTATTTCACATGGGAAATACTTAAATTCTTAGACCCTTAAGGAAAACCTTTCAGAATTAAGTGCTTTTATTTATAGGTGAGAGGATATGAGATTGAAAATTGAACTTAGCTTGCAAATATATATATATACACATATATATATGCACACACACACATATATATACACGTACACACATATGTATATGATGTCAAAAGTTCCGTACTGTTTACACATGTTTTATTGTATGTCACCTTGGTTCCTTTGAGGAAGTGGGCAGCTCTGAATCGCTGTGTCATGTCATATTTCATGAAATACTTCTGTTTAGTGAGTTAATTTTTAAGTGAAAAATGTCAACTGCTGTTATGTTGAACAGGTGAATGTAAAACATTCATGTATTCTGACAGTGCAGATACTTCGATTCTCATAAGCAAAACACAATGTCTGAAATACCTGCGCTGTTTTTTAAAAACGACTTTCAAAAGATAAGCATGGTATTTTGGTACCATACGTTAGAATGTATAATTTTTATTTATGTTACGCCTCCATGAATTAGTGACCTAGGTAGTTAGATTATTTCCTGGTTGTAAATATCTTGTCAAACTGCTTAAAGAATTTTGGACTTCTTGTCATGTTATTTATTACATCAGGACAGTAATTTGCTGCTCTGTGATGATGCCGTCGTGTTTCTCTCTGCCTCAGCACCACAAGTGACGGATGTGTTTTCATGGCTGGCCTTCTGTATCCTTGCCGTATACGTCAGCCATAAACCATATTAAACTTGAATCATATATATTTTTTACAACTAAGAGAGACTCACAATCAAACCCTCTAATTTTGCAGATAAAGAAACTGAGGCCTAAATTACGGAACTTGCTTTCCTAAGTCACATGAAATCTTAGCAGGAGACACTGAGGACTTCGGTTTCCTGTTTCCAGCTTTTCTTAAATCTCCTTGGATTTCTCAGTCCAGAACAGATTTCAGAGATTGCTTAATCTTCAGATGAGATAAGATCACCCTTATACCCTGCAATCTATCCATTATAGAAGCTACTTTTGCGAATTTCTAATTTTTAATAATGTGCACTTGAAATTCTTTTTATTTAACTAAAATTCTTGATCCTTGTTGAAAATTCAGTAATTTAAAAAAGACCAAAATTTGATAAATCCTGATACTTACTTCATTGAGCCTCATTACATAGAACAAAGCATTTTAAATTGTAACATTAGTGGCAGGGAATCTTCATAGTATTCTGTATTCCATTGTATTTATTCATTAGCAAATAAGCAAATGTCAGCTTTTAAGCATTCATTTGAAAATGACCAATGTAAACCTAAGTGTTGCAAAAATTTATTCTAACACGTGCCCTAATGAAAATTCCCTTCTGATCTTTACTTTTGTTAAGTGTAAGAGTAACTGTTGCTTAATAGAATACCTCGTATTTTATTATCCCATAAAAGTAAGCTTTAGAGTAGTTGAAATGAATGGTTCTTATTGAAGTTGAATTGTAGTTGAATTACCTTTGTATATTAACCAGAATTCATGAATGTATAATAGTTTACTTTTTCTGAAAATCAAATTTTTCCTAGATATTTATGGTAATACAAAGGCTCCTTTATGTCCCGGTCAGTGGGGTAAACAGTTGGTTTTAGGTGAATGCTTTCTGCCTCAAAGTATCTCCTATACTCTGATGCTTGAAATTCGACCATCAGAAATGACTTTTGTTTGATTGCTGTCATTCATTTCACTTATACATCACCATACACAAGCATATGTTATGAAATACATTGTTGCTGTTATAATTTTGAACAAACTGATACCTCTTAGATCAATTAAGAATAAGAAAAGTAGCCTAACAAAATTTAGCAAAACCAAATTCAACACAGCTTTAAAAGGGTCACATACCATGACCTAGTGGGACTTACTCCAGGGAGGCAAATATAGTCCAGCATCTGCCAGCCAGTCAGTGCATTAGCGCAGCGGTAACAGAGCAGTGGGTGAGACAATATGATCATCGCAGCAGACGCAAAAAGACATTTCACAGAATTCATCATTTGTTTATGATAAAGCTGCTAACAAAGTGAGTATAGAGGAAACATACCTCAGTGTAGTAAGGGCCGTGTATGACAAGCCCACGGCTAACATCATGATCTGTGGTGAAAAGCTGAAAGCTTTTTCTCTAAGTTCAGGAACAAGACGAGTACCCCTCTTATCATGTCTGTTAAACTTTGTAGTGGAAGGGAAGGAGTAAAGCTGTCATATTTTGTTTGCACATGACATGATATTATATAGAGAGAACCCTAAAGACACTAACAAAAAAAATGTTAGAACTAGTAAACAAATTAAAAAGTTGCAGGATACAAAATCAGTATACAAAAATCTGTTGCATTTCTATATACTAGCAGACTATCAGAAAGAGAACTTTGGGTTTTGTTTGTTCTTCTTTCTCTAGTTGCTTTAGGTGTCAGGTTGTTTATCTGAGGTTTTTCTTGTTTCCCGAGGTAAGCTGATACTGCTATAAAATTCCCTCTGAAAACTGCTTTTACTGACTTGATTTGGATCCTCATGTTTTCATTTTCATTTGTCTCTAAGTATTTTGCACAGCAAAGGAAACCATAAACAAAACGAAAAGGCAACCTACAGAAAAGGAGAAAATATTTGCAAATGACATGACCAATAAGGGTCTGATTTCCAAAGTATACAAATAGCTCATATAGCTTAATAGCCAAAAAAAAAAAACCCAATCAAAAAATGGGCAGAAGACCTAAATAGGCATTTCTCCAAAGAAGACATCCAGATGGCCAACAAGCACGGGGAGAAAAGGTGCTCAGTATCACTAATTATTAGAGAAATGCAAATCAAAACTACGGTGAGATGTCACTTTATACCAGTCAGAATGGCCATCATTAAAAAGTCTACAAATAATAAATGCCAGGGAGGGTGTGGAGAAAAGGGAACACTCCTACACTGTTGGTGGGAATGTAAATTGGTACAGCTGCTTTGGAAAACAGTATAGCGGTTCCTTAAAAAACTAAAAATAGACCTACCATGTGATCTAGCAGTCCTGCTCCTGGATATATATCCAGAAAAGATGAAGACCCTAATTTGAAAAGATATGTGCGCCCCAATGTTCATAGCAGCACTATTAGAATAGCCAAGACATGGAAACAACCCCTGGTGCCCATCAGCAGCTGCTGGTTTAAAAAGGGGGCAGTGTGTGTGTATATAAATAGATACATATGTATATATAATGGAATATCACTCAGCTATAGAAGGGAATGAAGAACTACCATTTGCAGCCACATGGATAGACCTAGAGATGATCATACTAAGTGAAGTAAATGGGACATAGACAGTGTTACGTGACATCACTTCTATGTGGAATCTAAAAAACAGAACAGATAAATCCATATACAAAACAGAAACAGACTCACAGAGGAAAGAAACTTCGCATTACCAAAGGGGAGAGGGGAGGGGAGAGGGATAAGTTAGGAGCATGGGATCAGTGGAAACTGCTATACATAAAATAGGTGAGCAACAAGGACTTACTGTACAGCACAGGGAGCTATATTCAACATCTTGTAGTAAAATATAAATGGAAAAATTCTGGAAGAAATACACCTTTATAACTGAATCACTCTGCTATACACCTGAAACTGACACAATATTGTAAGTCAACTGTACTTCAAAAAAAAAAATCCAGAGCTTTGAAATAAAAGTTAACATGTATTTAATCTCTGTGATAGAGATATATACATGTGTTAAATTAATTTTTGTAATTTTCTAATCTTTGAAGTGTTGAATAATTTTTGAAATGTTTAAATTAATTGCAACTGTGCAATGTTGTTGTTCTTTTTTTCCCTGCCTTGCTGTTCATTTTTATCTTTTATTTTTTTGCTGTCCCAAAAGAACAAATATTTAATTCCCTCTTGTCATTTAGGAACACTTTGGGTAGAAGGCAGCAGTAGAGCTGAGACGGCAAAGGAGCTTCCCCGAGTAAAGGGTAGAAGATCGACTTTCCGTGGTAGAGCAGCACTGGAAAGTCGTGCTGGCAGGAAAGGGAACATTCTGTAAATGGAAGGAGTGCACGTAATTGAGCATAACTGGAAGCAAAGGAGAAGTGGGTGAGATCAAGCAGTCAATTTAGACAGGCCCAGATGCTGAAAGCTCTGATACATGCTAGTGTGTTTGGACTTAATCTTGTGGATCCGTGGTTCCCAATTCAGCCTGGTCATCAGAATTAACTGGATTCCAATCCTGACTTTTTGAACGAGCATTTCTTACAACAGGGACCAGGAGACTGTTCTTTAAAAGCATCTGCCACTCCTGTTCTCCTTTTCCATTCTGATGACCCTTGGAAAGAGGGAGGTGGCGGTGCTCTCCACATGTGTGATGGAGAATTTCAGCTCAGAGTAGGGTTGGGGGTTGGACAAGTTTAGGCTGTTCGTTGTTGACAGCCTGTGTTTAGATGTCAGCACCTCTCCCATGGATTGGTACCTTCTGCCCCTTCTGGCAGAGGCAGATGGAGAAGAGCTACATAGAGATGTTTTCTCCAGTTGTGAGATGGTTACTTTTTCTCAGTCCCTCCAGATTTCTGTGAGATGAAAGCCTCTGTATAATATTAGATTAAGTTTTAAAACCAAATGGTGGGTAGGGGCTCAGCTCATCATTGTGCAGTAGGAGCTTTTGAAGGCTTTTTGTCAGCGTGACCTGACAGGCTCTGTATTTCGTGAGGAGGGGAGAAGATAAAGTTGGGGAGGTAAGAAATGATGTCAGTCCTTACTAATGGTTGGGCTGTAGGAAGTGATACATTCAAGAGAAAATTAGAAGACAGTATGTAATAAATATGCTCTTTTTATTTTTAATCCTCATTTTTAACGAGCTTGTGAGATCAGGAAAGGAAGAAAGCCTGGGAAGCGGGGAGACAGTATGGGTTATAGGTAACACACGAGTGTCAAAGGCTGGTGGATTTCCGTAGTATTAATTTTCAGTATATTTCCAGTTTGTCGCTGAAAATGTTTATGGTAACTAATCAATAACCTGGCCTTGTCTTTCTTTAATTTTTGGCAGTGTTCTCCCACCCAGAGTTATCTTCTGGTTCTCTCTGTGGGTTTAAGATCACATGCTGTCTTCCTGTCCAGCAGTTACTATTCCCAGAGAGAGCCAGTGGACTGACAGCGGTGGGAAGAGTTTAGCGGACAGTTCTATCTTATTTTCCATTACTGACTGTTCAGTGTAGTATAACTCACTAGAGTATTTTGAAATTTAACTATTTACTATCAAGTCAATTAGTAAGTATAAAATCTCACGAATAAAATATCGTCATAGAGTAAGGCCTGATTTGTAACCATTTCCTAATAGAGACAAGTTACAGGAGCCTTCTTGTTTCTTAACCGTAGGGCAAAAGTTGGATTGTTAAAAGAAGTTATGAAGATTTTCGGGTACTTGATAAACATCTTCATCTATGTATTTATGACCGACGATTCTCCCAGCTCTCAGAGCTTCCCCGTTCTGATACCCTGAAGGACAGTCCAGAGGTAAGCATTTAGTACTCTGCAGAACTAACCACTACTCCCGAATTAGCAGAAAACTCCTGCCTGTCTACTAAGTAAAAGCTTGTGTTGAACACTGCGGGAGAGTCTCCGGATCACTTATTTCCCAACTGAAAGACTAGTAATGCTGTGTAGGATGTTTAGAATTAAAATAGGTGCAGCATGTAATTTTATAAGAAGAAACTCCTATCTTAATGTATAAATGAGTGTTACATGTGAGCAGATCATTCTTCAAAGAGAATATAAAAGATGGGAGCAAAATATGGGAAAACGCTGACCTCACTAATAATCAATGATGCCGTTTACTCAGTTTATGACGGCAGGCTGTGTCCGTGAACTTACTTCCACTCCTGCCAAACGTTTCTAGTAAATACATGAATTTTTTTTTAATTTAAAAGGGAAGAGAGTCTTCATAATGTCAGGAAATAAAAAGAACCATCAGGATCAAAAATTGTGAGGAATCTTTGAAAGTAAATGAGATAAAATTTGTGGGGGCAAGAAAATACGGCATAAGACACTGGTGCGGGAAGCCTGCAGAGGGACAGATAAACTGGACGTCTTCAGTGTAACAACTGAGTATACAAGGTGACTGAGAAGAGCAGAGGGCTTTCCGAAGCATGATTTCTATCCTTAGAGGGGAAGTGAGGAAGTCACAATCATGGAATAAGAACAGATTTTTATAAAAATAATCAAAGGTCTTAGAAATGAACACACGGTCATTTAAATTAATTTTAATAATAGCAAACTTGAATAGCTGGAGTACATACAAAACGGACACAGATAAAGAGAGAGTTAGTGATTGGGGAGAGCAAGCTTTGTAAGAACACAGCCCTGAGGGGATAAAGAGTTGTGAGAGAGCAGTTGGGAGTCACGGAGAGCAGACCCAGAAGCTCCTGCTCCCCTCTCGTGGGAGTTCTAGGAGAAGAGAGTGGATGGAAGTAACTAAATCTAAAAAAGACATGTTTTTTAGATTAATGGGCCCACTGAGTGCTAAATATAACAATTGAAAAGACACACATCTAGAAACATTGTAGTAAGATTTCAAAATGCCAAAACATGGAGGAAACCCAGAAAGCTTCCAGAGAGCAAAAAGGAGATCTTCTCAAAAGGACAAGAATTGCATTGGCATTACACTCCTTGGTAGCCATCATGGGTGCTTGAAAGCAGTGCAGAATATCTTCCAAGTCCTAAAGGGAAGTCCCTGCAGATCTGTAACCAAGTCCCAGGCAGTTATTAGGTAGGGCGAAGTGGAGACATCAGTCACGCGAGAGCTGACGCTGTGGCAAGGTCTCGGGGATTTCTTAGCACCACGGTTCCTTTGTATCACAGAAAACCTGCAGGCCTCTCTGTCTCCATTTCCCTTCTCTGCCCAGTGCATTTTTCGTTCTCAGACTGTCTTCAGAACACGACCACACCCAACAGGTGCCAGGTTCTCACCTCTTATTAAGGTAGCAGCCAGATTGAGCTGGAATTTTGTATCACAATTTCTGACTCCTCCAGCAGCTCTTGTCAGCCAGCTCATGTTCATCCCGTTCCTGGACCCATCAGCTGATGTGTGGTGCAGGACTGTGTGTGGGGCAGTGTGTGGAAGATTGCAGCAGGCGTCTTTCTTGGAGAAAGAGTTTTAGGATAGCGAGTAGCAGGGGGAAGCTGGGTAGGAAAGCCAAGTGTGTCTGTGCTATCACTTTACATTTTCAATGCAAAAATAGAAAGACAAGGCAGTTAAATTAGAAGCTGTAAAACAGTATGACCCCTGATGATGAGGGGCTGAGAGGTAAAGCTCTGCACCAGACTGGAAATTATGTGAGTGCCCGTAGTTTCAGTTCATGGAGCTGTGAAGCCTCTGTGAAGACACCTCTGTAACTATTAAAATGCCCTAAACATCTGCAGGTTTTCTTTTGCCCCAGAGACAACCAGTTCATATGAGTTTCTCTGACAGAGAACGTAGGATCTCCATTCTGTTCCCACTGAATCTTCTCTTTCTCTTTAGTCGGTCACTCAGATGCTTATGGCTTACCTGTCCCGCCTTTCAGCTATTGCTGGCAACAAGATCAATTGTGGGCCTGCCCTTACCTGGATGGAGGTATTAATCTAGTTCACCTTTTATTAAAATTAATTTTTAAATTGTCTACTTAAGAAGTTTAATATTGATTTAATTTCGATAGCTGTTGAGTTTTAGGAATCGAATAAATGGATCTTGCTCTCATCTTCTGGAAGATAGATATGTGATACATAAAATATTTTTCATCTCTAATCTGTCTTTGATAATCCAGGAAGATAATTTTAATATTATTTTATGAATCACAACGACACCTATTATTTTGGTGTTTGATATATTAATATATACATTTAACAAGGTGTGTATATGTATCTTTTCTTCTAATTGGCTTAGTTATTGAAAATATTTTTCAGTTATTTATGAACAAGAGACAGTGTTGTAAAGGGTCAGTGAGTCTTGAGCGACAGAGTATTCAGCTACCTTTTCCTCCTTCAGTTGCCATGTGCACGGCCATAGTGCTCTCTCCTTGCAGTGGAAACTGGGCCTGCAACAAAGAGTGCACGGAAGGAAGAGCCAACTTGCACTGGTTCTTCCGCTATCGATAGTGTGGTCTGGGACACATTACTTAGTCTCTTGTAATTTACATAACCTCTTTAGCTTTAGCATCTTCATCTTTAAGTCGTGATGATGATAATAAATATCTTTCAGAGTTATGAAGATTAAATTATATATATTATATGTACAGTGCAACGACTGAAATACAGTAAATATTCAATAGGTGCTGTTTTTTTTTAAGATTTTTTTGGTATATGGTTTTGTAAATCAAATTGAATTATCTTATATAGATACACAAAGAAACTTGCAAGTCCCACGCCTTTAACCATCTCATAGTACATTTTCTGTGCTGCAGATGGATAACAAGGGGAATCACCTGCTGGTTCATGAGGAGTCCTCCATTAACACTCCTGCCGTTGGTGCTGCCCACGTCATCAAGCGGTACACTGCTCGGGCCCCGGACGAGCTGACCTTAGAGGTGCGTGACTAAAGGTGCTGTGTGTTAGCTCAGTCCCCACTCCCTTCCAGCCTCATCTTTAACGGCTTAAACAATTTCCTTAACTAAAAGCACCAGATTTTCCTGTGCATCATTGTCTTTTAGTCTGGCATGTCATCTATTTTTTTTTTAAATGACTGTACTCATCCTTGAAAATTCAGCTTAAATGTCTCTCATTTCTTGTAGGAAGTCATCCCTGGTCTCCTTCCCTCTGCTCCATGGAAATATGCACGCCCCCCAAACCCGCACCGCATGCCGTTTTGACTGTCCTCCTGGCTTGTCTCTGACATGCCACTTACTGCTTTCAGTCACAGTTGTTCCCCTCTTTGTCTGTGAGCTTCCTGAAAGCCAGGTCTCCGCCTTTGCCTTTGTGTTTTTATCACCTAGGAACAATACCCAGTGATCCTTTCTTCTGGGTGTTTGTTCCTAGGCTGAGGTAAAGACCAGATGAAAAGCAAAACGAACATTTCTTGCTATCAGACACAAAAGGAGGGGAACTAAGTTTCTTCCTTTAATACTGGCTAAGAGACTAAAAAATATGCTGAAAGTTATTCAATTTTAGAGGAAAAAAGTATAAATTTTTACTGTCTAGAATTCAAACTGTTCTCAAACTTAAATTTTTAGATTCTATACACAAAAAAATCCTTGGTCTTGAAAGAGACCACGTCTGTTAGCAGATAAGACTATGTGAAGGTGACCTTCATGACTTGAAAAATTGTGATTATACAAAGAAAAATTCTTAAAGCAGTGTTGTGTACATTAGGAACATTGTTCTGAACTGCTAAACTCTTTTATCACAGAGATCATCACTTATTTTGATTGAAGAGTACAACTTCCTTTAAATATATTATTAAAGACTATTATTGCAATTTTTATATTTATGATTTTGTGAAAGTTTGTAAACGCACTAGTTTGTCTTCTGGAGTGAAGAAAGTCAGCTGTTTATCAGGAATGTTATACTGACCATCTATTGGAAGAAGTGTAGTTGTCACCCAACTTTACACTTACTGAAAATAACTCAGTGATTGTGGACACCCTAGAGCTTTCCTATATGATGAAATAAGATATGCCGAATGCTTAGCATGGTGCCTGGCACATGGTGAGCACTCACCATGTATTAATAGATGCTGATGTTCTAAATGTGAGTTATTAAAACTGCCTTTTGTAAGTGAGTCTGATCACTTTTAGTGATAGCAGTTACAGAATATTTTAGCACAAGTGGTGATGTATGATGCCTGATGTTCAAAAATCTTACGCTGTACGTCAGGCTTCCCGAAGTTACTACATGTTTGTTGCATCTCAGTCTTCTTGCTGCTTAACTTTTTGTAAACCTCTCCTTAACAAATGGTTAAGATTATTCAATTTTTTACAGAAAGAAATGTTAATGTTTTAACAGGAGTAATGAGCCAGAGAGTAAGACAGTACTTCACCTTTTTGTTACAGTTTATATTTAAATTCTAGAGGCAGTTGCTTTAAAATTTGACTAAAAGCGCTTTGCTTAACGTTTTTTCTCCTAGGTGGGAGACATTGTGTCTGTTATTGACATGCCCCCGAAAGTGTTAAGCACGTGGTGGAGAGGCAAGCATGGATTTCAGGTGGGCAACAAAGAGTTAGGTGTGGAAAATTCAAAGAACGGTTTTTCTTTCAGTAATATTTCTGTTGACAACATGTGCTGACCGTGGACTTTGTCATCAAAAATTTTGTCTGCAGTGATAGAAAAATGTAGCTGGCAACTCTTCTAGTTGCTGTTGTGGTTGTGTTCATCTCCTTCTTCCCCTTAGATGTAGCCAAGGTGTGAGCAGAGTCACACGCCCGGTGACACTTTTGTTATTGGGTCTGTGACTGTGCCTTGCTTTTCATAATGGTGCAAAGTCATGAGTCACATATATTTTCTTCTCTAGAATTAAGTCAGTTTGATCAATATTTTTTAATGACTTGTAGCTGTTACTGTAAACAGTATATCAATTGCAGAGTAACAGCAGTGTCCTTTCCGGTGTCTGCCAGAGTAATTTGAGACCTGATAATGGCGTCTTTTAGTGTCCGCACTGTGGAAAGGTTTTCTTTTATCTTTTAAAACTATCACTAGAAGAGCATCTAAAAATGCCTTAAACTTGTATCCTGAATATATATAACTTGTGGGTTTTTGTTTTCTGTTTATAAAAGTGTTTCTAAAATGCTGCATAGATTAAGTGCTCATGCTATACAGCTGGAAACATTAATAACTATTGTATAAGTATCTTGAGCCGTAAGTATATATAAAATAAAAGCTACTAGGTTTCTATAAAATGTATTTTATCAAAAAATAATCATACAATTTTAAAACAGGATAGCATGGTAATTAAGAGTATGGGTTCTGGTGACAAATTGCTTGGGTTCTAATCTTATGTTATCTTGAGCAAGTAATTTTACTTCTCTGTGCCTTGTTTTCCCCATTTGTGAAATGGTGATTGCAGGACTATTCTTAAACCTCATAAGGTTATTGGGAAGATTAAATGTGTAAGGATAAACTATATAAAGTATCTAGAGCAGGCCAGATGCATATTTTCCACTCAGTAAATGTTGATTTTTAAATGTAATTCTGTTTTATATTTTACAAACTTAATTTTATCTATCTTTTATCTATTATAAAAGCATTTATAGCAACTTAATTTGATGATTAAAACCAAAAAAATTGTATCTTTATTATTACCCCACAAATTTTTTGTTTGTGTAATTGGAGTCCTTCTTTATCTGTGCTCTGATTTTTTTTTTAATTGAAGTACTGTTGATTTACAACATTGTGTTAGTTTCAGGTATATAGCAAAATGATTGTTTATATGAGAGAGAGAGAGTGTGTGTGTGTGTGTGTAGTCTCTTTCAGATCCTTTTCCATTATAGGTGTTATTACAAGATATTAAATATAGTTCCCTGTGCTGTACAGTAGGTCCTTGCTCTTTTGTGCTCTCATTTCTTAATTGCTATGAATAATTGGTGCTTTTGATTAAATATAAAACTAAATGAAAGATCAGTTATCTCTTTTCTTAATAAGAGGTCAGTCTCCATGTTCATTGGAAATGAGCTATAAATGTTAGGGTCCCACAGATGATCAAAAAGTTAATTTGGCTTTACAATGACAGTTATGTTTTGGTCTTGGTATTGCTACCTTTCTTATAATTTTAGACAAGATAGCTTTCTTTGGACTCTAGTTTCCCCTTAGAGAGTTTCACTTACAATCACTCTAATCCTTCTCAACATTTTAATTCCATGATTCCAAAACAGCAGGTTGAAAGTCAGTCCAAGGAGGGGCAGTTACTAATAGACTTAAGGGTGCTGTGCTGCTGTCTTCGTTTTTCTGTTACCAGTGACTGCTCTCCATCACCGAGTCTCAGGCTTTACTCACTGTGTTTACATGTTACACTGGGGACATGTTAAAACAAAATCTTGTGGCCTAAGCCCCCAAATTCTGTTTCAGTGGTTGTGGGATAGGATTAAGACTGCAGTTTTATCCATGTGATTCTGGCGCAGGTGTTCCTCAGACCGCTCCTCTGGAAGCAGTGCTTACACTGAGCTGTAGGTGAATTCTGCTGATCAGCTGGTGGTTGAAAAAGATGAGCGTTTTGCCAAGTTCTAGTCTGTGTGTTGCTTTAGCCTAGACCACAATTTAGCTGTGGGAACAGAAGGATTAGTTCATCATGTGTTTAAATTATACTGTGACTGTGTTTCTTTTCTTAAACTTCTGGGAGTAGGAAGTGTGAAATTATATTAACTATAGTAATTTGAAATGCTGAGGTTTTTTTTGTCTTCTAAAGAGTGTATGGAATATCGCACCTTAGTTTTCTGAGGTGCTTCGTCGTGTAGTGTATACTTCAGAAAAAAAATTCATGGCGTCAGCTTTTGTGCCTGTCTGTGAACTGTGGCTGCAAACGTGAGGTGAGGTGTCTGGAAAGCCCCCTTTTTTAGGCAAAAGGCATAACACAAGTATAAAATGTTGATAACTTTGAGGATTACTTGTTTGTTTAGTGCCGTGTTTCTCAGAGTTTTATCTGGGAGCCTCTAGCATCAGACTGACCTGAGAAACCTTTTAAAACTAGATGTTACTCACCAGACTCTGCAGGGATGGGGACCGGAACCTGAATTTTTATCAGGTTCCTAAGATGATGATTAAGCACAAAATGAGAACCACTGATCTGGTCTCTCACTGATGATCCTCGCACAGATAAAGGAAGACGTTAAACGCAGCTTAACGGGTCTTCTCTTTTCCTCCCAGAAAATCTCTTGCAACTTACTTGGGATACAGTCAGTCTGATGGATGAAGTACCATTTGGAGATGGACAGAACTCTGTACAGCTCATCTTTTCTTGGTTTCCACAAGATGATCAAGGATCAGCTATTTTATTTTTCATAGTTACCCCAGAATGTTGTGTGAGGATTTTTGTGTACAAATATTGGAGAAGCGTTTCTTGGACTATAAACATTGCCTTACTCAGGAGTTTAATATGGTTCCAATAACTTATGTTCAGAAAAGTATTCTTTATCCCAAATTCGAGATATGTGGAAACCTTGTCCCTTATGATAAGTAGTTTAATGGAGGAAGGCAGTTTACCTGCTTATTTATATGAACCATCATTTCATGTACAGAATCCAAAGCTGCAGCTTTTTATTGCTCGAAATTAAAGAGAGCAAAATATTTCCTCTCCGGTTAAGTGATGGGAAATCATAGAATGTAATTTTTCATCTGTAACGTTATGTAATTTCAGGGGAAGAGGGAGCGTGTGGTACTACAGATACAGTTGTAACACTTCTTGAGTGCTTTTATGTGTGCTTTCAAAGTGCTTTCCATTAACCTTGAATTCTCATGCTCTGTAAATTCTTACACAATATTATTGCCTCTCTTTTACTGACAAGGAAACTAAGGGGATTAAACAACTGGCCCGTTGTTATTTCACTGTTTAGTGTCAGAACTTAGGTAGAAACTAAGGCATTCTGGGCAAAGACAGATCATAGTGGTGACTTAATGAACCAGTGGTGGCTTCTACTCGCCCACAGGTATGAGTCATAGATTTCCGTAGTGGGACGGATGATAGTGGAGATCATCTGGTCCTGAACTATCATTTTAAAATCATAGAAATCGAGAGACAGAAGGATTTAGGTAGGTTGTTCTGATTCACAAAGACAGTAAGTTAGTGATATAGCCAGAACACAAGCTTGGTGAGTTCCGGCTTTGCATTTTCCCCTCTTGGAGCACAAAAAGTGTAAATCATCTTAAATTATTTTCTGTGTTTCTTGTTGCTGTTTTTAGTTTTCTTATTAGTGCCATTAGCAGGTGCCGCTGATGTTTGGAGAGAAGTCAATTTCTAGATAGCCTTTTGTTAATTTATAACCTCGGAATATGTCCTACCAAATGATGCTTAAATGTTGCTTTGTGGAAACTACTGACAGAACAGCTTAGAGGAGTAGTTCTTAACCTCAGCAAACCCTGCGCCCCCTTGTTATGATAAATATTTTCTAAAATACTTTCTTATGATTCTGAAATGAAATTTACAAATGGTACAACAACCTACAAAGAAACACAATTTCAAAAAATCAGTATTATTTTTCACATCTAATATAAAGGAGAAATAAAAGTAGTTTGTGTATGTAAAATACATAGTGTATATTTAAAATATATATACCTGGGACAACTACACGAAGTCTTGCCACTCTAAGTGTAGTCCATAGACCAGTCATATTAACGTCCGTCAGAAAATGTAACAAAACCCATTTGTAAA